GCCAGGGCACGTGCCAGGTTGCAATGCTGAGTGTATCGATCTTGATGTACAGTGCCGAGGGGTGTGCTGTGCTGCGCCGTGCTGAATTGCGGTGTGCCATGCCGAGATTCTGCCCTATAGCGTTGAGGATCGAGTCCTCCTTTGCATCCGAGTCCTGACCGAACTGATCTGGATCTTACAGCCCGAGCTGTCTGAGCACATAATGGCTGCCCCAGGGCAAATTGACAGGGGAACATGCCAAGAGGACGCGCCGCGGAACGTCCCAAGGGACGAGCCAAACGACGTGCCAGGTGATGTGCCACGGGGACGCACCGCGGGACGTACCAAGAGGACGCGCTACGGAACGTGCCAATGAACGTGCCACGGGACGTGCCAGGGGACGCGCCGCGCGACGTGCCAGGGGGGCTCACCACGGGACGCGCCACGGAACGTGCCAAGGGACGTGCCAAATTGCAATGCTGAATGTATCGATCTTGATGTACCGTGCCGATGGGGTGTGCTGTGCTGCGCCGTGCTGAACTGCGATGTGCCATGCCGCGATTATGCTCTATAGCGTTGAGGATCGAGCCCTCCTTTGCATCCGAGTCCTGACCGAATTGATCTGCATCTTACAGCTCGAGCTGCCTGAGCACATAGTAGCTGCCACGGAGCTAATAGACAAAGGAATCTGCCAGGAGGACGCGCCGCGGAACGTCCCAAGGGACGAGCCAGGCGACGTCCCAGGGAACGTGCCATGGGGACGCACCGCGGGACGTGCCAAGGGGACGCGCTACGGAACGTGCCAGTGAACGTGCCACCTCATGCTAGACATCCGCCTGGGCGAACTGGACACGTGAAAACAAGTGGTTCGCTCGAGACATCCTCAACACGTCTTCATGTCAGCCGTCCGCTTCAGGCCTCCAGAAAATCCCCAGGAGGCCCATGTTAGATACCCCCAGGTGGCCTGGACACGTGAAAACACCTGGTTCCGCCATGATACAATACCCCCCTGGGCGGCGTGGACACGTAAAACCACGCGGTTCGAATTCGGGACAATCATGTTAGATACCCCCCTGGGTGGCCTGGACACGTAAACACACGTGGGACCAACTCTGGGCAACCATGTTAGATACATCCCTGGGTGGCCTGGACACGTTAAAGCACATGGTCCTTGCGGGACAACCATGTTAGAGATGCCCCCTGGGTGGCCTGGACACGTAAAAACACGTGGGACCAGCTCTGGGCAACCATATTAGATACCACCCTGGGTGGCCTCGACACGTTAACACACATGGTTCAAACTCGGGACAATCATGTTAGATACCCCCCTGGGTGGCCTGGACACGTAAACACACGTGGGACCAACTCTGGGCAACCATGTTAGATACATCCCTGGGTGGCCTGGACACGTAAAAACACGTGGTGCCAGCTCGGGACAATCATGTCAGATATCCCCCTGGGTGGCCTGGACACGTAAAAACACGCGGTGCCAACTCGGGACAATCATGTTAGATACCACCCTGGGTGGCCTGGACACGTAAAAACACGTGGTGACCGCGGGAGAACCATGATAGATTATTCCCCTGGGCGGTCTGGATGTTTCCAGCTCGGGACAACCATGTTAGATACCCCCCTGCGTGGCCTGGCTTTGCTGAATTCGCGCCCCCGCTCGAGACATCCTCACAATGGCTTCCCTGGAGAGGCCCCCAACGCGCCGCCACCCCCTGTCCAGAGCAAGAAAACATAACATTTCTGATGTGGAAGAGCACCAATCGGCGCAGCAGACGCCTACGAGGCGCCCACAGGGGGCACCAGGCGAAAGCCCAGAAACGCTACATGGAAAACGCCAGCCAACGCACGGGGCGGCGACGGACGGCGACTGGGCGAAAACCCAGAACCTCCAGGCGGCGCACAAGGCGCGACGAGGCGGCGACGGGCGAACACCGGAAACGCCATCCAAGAATTTGGCCGAACAGCAAGAATCCCACCATGCACGCACAGGTTGGGAAACATCAGCGCGTTATCATTTTGTTTGTTTTGGCCTCCGAGAACCTGTTCCGGGGCCCGGGAATGGCGGAGGTCGATCGGGCCTGAACAGCTGGCATGGCCAGGGCGGACTCCTGGATGGGTCTTCGGGCAGATCTTGAGCTGACCAGAAAAGGAGTCAGGGCGCAGCAGGCAACCAGGGGTCTGCCACTCATGGGAGGCCTGGAAATGGGCACCAACACCAAGACAGAGGGCTGCCTCCACAGGGGGGAGGTGATCCTAGATTTCGGTGTTGGTGGTAATATTTCGGCCACCTTGGAAGCCAGAATATTACCACCATCACCGAGATCGGGATCTTCTTCCCTCGGTGGAGGAACACCGCCGATCTTGGTGTTGGTGTCAATCTCTAGGCCTGCGAACTCACCTCCGATTCCCTCTGGCTTCCCTGGCGTTGGAAGCCACGTGGAGCGGATCGCATGCCTTCCTGGCTCGGGTTTGTAGAATGCTTCGTGGCCGGCCCTGGCTGGACAGACAAACAGACAGACAGCCAGACAGCCTTTCTGGACACACGTTGCTTACCCGCAGGTAAGCAGCGACACACAAACAGCCAGACAAACACACACAAACACACATTCAGACACCAACCAACACACAGACACACACACAGACACACACACAGACACACACACATACAGACACACACAGACACACACACTCACGCACACACACACACACACACACACACACACACGCACACGCCAAGCGGCGTGCGCTATGATGTGCTGTGATGTGCTGTGATGTGATGTGTTGTGCGTGGCTGTGCTGTTTCGTGATGTGCTGTGTTGTGCTGTGATGTGTTGCCACACACACACACACACACGCACGCGCGCGGCCGTGCTGCGCTGTGCTGCGCTGTGCTGCGCTGTGATGTGTAGCGGTGTGGCATCTGGAGCCACCGGCTCCGTGCCTGGAGCGCTGGCCCCGGCCCCCGATTAGTCGTTCTCGTCGTCCTCTCCCCCCTTCTCCCCCTCCTGCCTGGCCTTCTGCCTCCTCGCCCCGTTCTCTCCTTCTGGCTTCTGGCCTGTCCCCCTCCTCTCCTCCCTCCCCCTTCCTCCACTCCGTTCCCCTCCTCCCTTTCAGGTGTGATGGCATGGCCGTGGCTGGCGGGCTGCGCCTCTTCGTGGCCCCCCCCCCCTCCTCCCCCTTCAACACACGCACGCGCGTGTGGCTCAAACGCGCAATCTCACCCACCCGCGTCCCCACAAGCTACTGTAAGTCTTGTGCGGAGTCGCGCGGTGCAAGTGCCGCCCCATCGCGCCACCCGAAACGGGCTGGTCCACACACCAAAACCGACAGCGGCAACCACCAAGGTAGCGTGTGTTGCTCGCAAGTCGCGTGAGTGTCGGTGTGCCCAGCGCCAGGAAGGGGCCAGTCCAGGCGGATGGGTGCGACAAGAGCAGCGTGCGGTGTGTGTGTGTGTTATTTGGCGTTGGGTGGATGCACAATGGACCGTGCACCACCCACGTGACTCCCCCTCATCCACTGCAGCCGGCATTGCTTGCGGTGGCGTGCAGCCTGGTATGAGATGATGCGAGGACACGGTGTCTCCGCTATGGGCGGGCAACAAACGAACTGACACACAGACACAGACACACATACAAACACAGACACAGACGCACAGACACAGACACACTCTCACACACACACACACGCGCACACACACACACACGCACACACGCACACGCACACACGCACACGCACACACAGACACACACACGCAGGCACAGACACCGACACCGACACCGACACAGACACAGACACACAGACACAGACACAGACACACTCTCTCTGACACACACACACACACACGCATGCATGCACACACGCACACCCACACCCACACCCACACTCACACACGCAAAACACACACACGCACACGCACACGCACACACACACACACACACACACACACACGCACACGCAAACGCACACGAACATGCAGACGCACATGCACACGATCACGCACACGCACACGCACACGCGCACACGCACGCGCAGGCGCACACGCGCACGCACACGCAAACGCACACTCCCACGCCCACGCACACGCACAGCCACACACGCACACGCACACGCGCACACGCACGCACACTCGCACACGCGCACACGCATACGCACACGCACACGCGAACGCAAACGCACACGCACACGCACACGCATACGCACAAATTCACACACACACACACGCACGCACGCACAATCACTTACAAACACACAAACAAACACACAAACAAACACACTCACCCGCACACGCACACACCACACACACGCACACGCACACGCACACGCACGCGCACACGCACACGCACACGCACACGCACAGGCACAGGCACAGGCACACGCACACCACACGCACACGCACACGCACGCGCACGCGCGCGGGCACGCGCGCACACACACGCGCACACGCGCACACGCGCACACGCGCACACGCGCACGCGCACACGCACACGCACACGCACACGCACACGCACACGCACAGGCACAGCACAGGCACACGCACACGCACACGCACACGCACTCGCACACGCACACGCACACGCACAGGCACAGGCACAGGCAGGCACACGCACACGCACACGCACACGCACACGCACGCGCACGCGCGCACACGCACGCGCGCACGCGCGCACACGCGCACACGCGCACACGCGCACACGCGCACACGCACACGCACACGCAAACGCACACGCACACGCATACGCACACACGCACACGCACGCACGCACAATCACACACAAACACACACAACACACACACGCATACGCACACGCACACGCACACGTACACACCCACCCACACACACACGCACACGTACACACCCACCCACACACACACGCATACGCACACGCACGCGCACACGCACACGCACACGCACACGCACACGAACACGCACACGCACACGCATACGCACACGCACGCGCACGCGCATACACATTTACACACACACACACGCACACGCGCGCGCGGATCGCCTTCTCCAGGGCGCGCTCGAACGATTTCTCCATTGTCTCGAGGAAGGAAGGCTCTGGGGCGAGCACCTTCTGTCTCTATCTCTCTCTCTCTCTCCTTCCCACCCTCGCTCCCTCTCTCTCTCAACAGATATGTACATATATGCATTTACAACCACATTTTTGCCACGTATGTATACGTATATATTTATAGATAACTCAGTGTTTGGTGTTTTGTGGTTCTCTCTCTCTCTCCCTCTCTCCATCTCTCTCTTCATCTCCTTCTCCCTCTCCCTCTCTTTCCCCCCTCTCCCTACACATAGATACACACGTATATCCATCTCCCTTTCTCAATACTGGTCTTGTGGCCTGATAAACCAGTGAGACACGAAACGGCGAGAGGCAACAATCATTGAAGCATACTGGGCTTTCGCAAGATCCTGGTCTCTCGGGAATATCCTGGAGCTCTTGAATGGCAGCATAGCCGTCTTTGGGCCTCTTGGCCGTGTTGGGGCCGTCTGGGATCCGTATTTGGATGCTTTTCAATTTGGGTCCGAAGGATATCGGAGGGCATCTTGGGCATGTTGGAGGCGTCCGGGAATGGATCGGGAGAGGCTCGCAGAACCCGGGAGATGCGCCAGGGAGCCCGTAGGCCGCCCCTCGACCTCCAAGGGCATTCTGGACCCCTGGGGAGGGGAACCCACCGCCCCCTCCTCACCGCTCCCGCCCACCCCCCCCCCCTCGCCCCCAGCCTCCCACCACGATCTCCGCTCCCCGCTCCACCGCCCCATCGCCTCGCACGCCCCCCAAGCCCGTGCCCCCCAACTCCTCCCACGGGGGCCGGAGTGGGAGGTCGTGTGAGCGAGGAGGAGGGAGAGCAGCCCGCGTGGGGAGAGCAAGGCTTGTGGAGGGCGCGTGGGGAGGAAGCTTAGCTGGTTGAACTTTTCGTCCCGACAATCCTGAAATGTTGGGTCCTCGGTTTGACGAGACAGCGCCACGCGTTCCTTCCTCCTCTCCTCTCCTCTTTCCCCTCCTCTCTCCTCCAGCATCCCATCATCCTTATCCATGCGTCCCCCATCCATGTCGGCACACCCCTCAAAAGCTTCGTCGCCCCATAGGGAACTCCGCCGAAGGCCTCAATTGCACGGTTCGCATGGCGCCACCGCGCCCATTTCGGCACACCTCTCACACGTTCCGTGGCCACACAGGGAGCTCCGCCGAAGGCCCCAATGGCAAGGCGCGTGGTGCCACACCGCCCATGTCGGCACACCCCTCACACGTTTCGTCGGCCCACAGGGAGCTCCACTGAACGTCTCAGTGGGAGAGCTCGCATGGCGCCACCGCACCGTTCGGCGCACCCCTCACTTGCTTCGTGGCGCCATGGGGAGCTCCACCGAAGAGGATACGCACCACTGTGGTAGTCACAACCTCATATGGTTGAGTCCTTCGCCAGGGTAATGATGGTTTTCGATATGGACGTATTCTTTCCGATCTAGGCACAGTTTGTTCTGCTCTCAGGTCCAGGACCGGCCCGTGGCCCACCTGCTCCTTGTCTGCCTGTTTTCAAGAAGTGTGTAATACTCTGTTCGGTACCACAGCCGCCTGCCTGACGTCCACATTCAAGGGTGCCGGCTTGAGAACGTCTTTGTCGAATCAAGAGCGACACGTCGAAATATGTGAGGGAACACGCCCCCAGCGCTCACAATAACAAGTGCAGGAGAGGACCTGCCAGTCATCTCCGGCGCCACATCAGCCCTCGGCAAGCGGGTGTCAGCATATTTCTGGCCGCATATGCTGATCAACCGCAAGTGCGTCCCAACACGTCGCCTTGGAAGCTCCAAGCGCTGTCGAGTTTCGTGTTTATGGGAACTACTTGGCAAAGGATACGGTTTGACCGTTCAGTTGGCGTGAGTGGAACTTCTGAGTAACAGAACAAAGGTGCTGCAATATGGCAAATCAACAATATGGGTCCTGCAGAGCTTGCTGTCTGCATTACGGAAACCAGCATCAACGCGTTATTCCAACTGTCTTCGCCAAACCAATCTGCGCATGTATGCTTGCAACATCATTGTAGATAACGGAGGTGCCAGGTCCTAGAATGGCAGTGTTCAACGATCGGACGATGAGATGCCCTTGCATCGTGTTTCATTGGTCTGTCTTTCCCGACAGAGTTCCATGGGATATGGCTTTGCCCCAAAACAACTTGCATTTGCAACGTGCAACCTAATTCTTCTAGGGCCGGGTGCACACGAACCCAGGTTCGGAAATGCCGGCCCGTGGTCTGTGGTCTCCCGTATGGTATCCCGTCTGGTCTCTAATAAATTCTCCCGCTTGGTCTCCCGTGCGGTCTCCCGTGTGATCTCCGTACGGTCTCTCGCGTGGTCTCCCGTCGTATGGTCTCCCGCTTGGTCCCCCGTTTGGCTTTTTTGTATGATCCCCCGTGTGGTCTCCCGTGTGGTCTCCCGTGTGGCCTCCCGTATGGTCTCCCGTATGGTCTCGCGCAGTGTCTCCTGTATCGCCTCCCGCAGGTACAGCCCATTGTAATGCTCTCTCCAGTCTTTGCCTATGCCGTGTAGGGCCTTCTGCGGCCAGGGTGTACTTGATATCATTTTCGCATGGATGTCTGGCTCTGGATGGAATAGCTTGCATGCAGTGCGCAAGCAAAAGCTTGATCGACAAACACTTTGCGCCCCATCCTCTCTCCCCCTCCTCCTCCTCCTCCTCGTCGTCCTCCTCCTCCCCCCTCCTACTCCACAAGATCGACCTCACGACCTCTCCTGTGGCATGTTCTGAACAGGAAATCTAAGCAAATCCAGCCGTGGTGGCGAGAGCCGTTCCCAAGAGGGCCAGAGGCGAAACCAACATCCCTCTTCGCACCTCCTCGTCCCCTCTCCGCCTCCTTTTTTCCTCTGTCCTGCTCCCTCTCCTTCTTACTGCCAGGACCTCCGACGACATATTGTTTGAGTTGTCGCCGCCTGGAGCTCCCGACGAATGCCCCCAAACTGCTTTTCTATCCTGGGTCGTTTCTCTCAACCATCCTGTGGTGTCGGGTCATTCTTCAGAATCAGCAGCGCCCCGCATTCCTGCTCCTCTCCTCCTCTCCTCCCTCCTCCTCCTCCTCCTCCTCCTCCTCCTCCTCCTCCTCCTCCTCCTCCTCCCTCCGTCTCCTCCTCCTCCACCTCCTCCTCTTCCTCGTCCTCCTCCTTCTCCTCATCATCATCATCACCATCACCATCACCATCGTCGTCACCATCGCCAGCAGCATCATCAGCAGCATCAGCATCATCACCATCACTACCACCATCACCGTCACCACCACCACCCTCATCAGCATCATCATCATCATCAGCATCATCACCACCATCATCATCACCATCATCATCATCACCACGATCATCAGCATCAGCATCATCAGTATCATCATCAGCTTCATCATCGCCATCATCGGTATCATGACGAGCAGAAGCATCATCAGCATCATCGTCAATATCTTCCCCCTCATCATCACCATTATCACCGTTATCAATGATTACGGAGATGATGGTGATGATTACGAATCGTGACCATCACCACCAGCATCAGCAGCATCATCATCAGCAGCATCATCATCATCTGCAGCATCGCCATCAGCAACACCATCACCATCATCAGCATCACCAACCCAATCACCAGCACCATCACCAGCACCAGCATCAGCACCAGCACCAACATCAACATCATCATCATCATCATCATCATCGTCATCGTTATCAACATCATCCTCACCAGCAAACGCATCATCCGCATCATCATCATCACCACCACCATCATCATCACCATCATCACCACCGTCATCATCATCAGCACGATCATCATTATACTCATCCGCGTCATCATCATCATCATCATCGTCGTCGTCACCATCAGCAACAACACCATCATCACAGTCATCAACAAAACCAGCAGCACCAGCATCACTCGCATCATCATCCTCATCCTTGTCATCACCATGACCATCAGCCTCATCGGCACCAGTATCAGCGCCATCACCATCATCAAACACATGTCGGCGCACCCCTCATGCGTTTCGTTGCCTATAGGGAGCTCCACCGAAGGCCCCAATGGAAGGGTTCGCATGGCGCCATCGCACCCGTGTCGGCACACCCCTCGTACGCTTGTGGCCCAATAGGGAGCCCCCCCGAAGGCCGCCGCACCAATTTCGGCACAGCCCTCACACGCTTCGTGGCCCAACAAGGAGCCCTACCGAAGGCCCCCGTGGGAGGGTTTGCATTGCGCCGCGGGCCCACAAGGAGCTCCACCGAAGGCCCCAATGGGAAGACTCACATGGCGCCACCGCGCCCGTTGTCGGCACACCCCTCACACGTTTCGTGGCCCCAGTGGAAGTTCCACCGAAGACCCCTCCCTACAAGTTTTGTGGCCCCATAAGGAGCTCCACCGAAGGCCGGGGTGGGAGGGTTCGCATGGCGCCGTCGCGCCCATTTCGGCACATCCCTCACACGTTTCGCGGCCCCATACGGCAAGCGGGGGGGCTCGCATGTCGTCACCGAACACATGTTGGCACACCCCTCACCCGCTTCGTGGCCCCACTCCTTCGTTTCACCTGCTTCGCGGTACTCGCAGCTAAATGTGGTTGGGTACTTAGCCAAGACAATTGTGGACGGCCTTGAAACGGCTTCGTGATACCAGAACTTCTGAAAAACCTCTGCCATTATTATTTGAGTCGCCAACGGGCTCTTTTGTAAAACATACCCCCCCTGGCCTGCCCTGGAGCGCGTCCCGACCATAATCTCGGGACGGATACAGCCCAGCGACGCAGACGCTCCTGCAGCCTCAGACATGGATGGCAACATGATTCTCGAACCTTCTCCTCCTCCTGCGCCTCCTCCTCCTCTTCCACGATCCTCCTCTCTGGGCGGACGAAAGGCGGGGGCTAGCACGGCGGCGGGGGAGTTCTGTTTCCTGGCGCCTCCCGGCACCGGAGGCGCCAATGTATTGTATGGAGGAAAGGGCACGGCGGCGCTGTCGAAATCAGCTGCATGCAGCAAATTTCATACTCCAAACTCCCCTTTCCCGATCCGACGCTTTCGTCCGACCCGGTTCTCTGGAGGGAGTCTGGGTCCTCCTCCCTGCCCACCTCTTCGAGGAAAGTGATCCTCGGTATTTCCGGATAAAACGCAAAATAAACTTACCGATCCTCGATTCTCGATTCGGGCAACCGGCGATGTGATTGTTGACAAATCCGCAGGCCCCAGGGGCCTCCATCCCCTCCCCAAGGGTACCTCTTCCTTCTGGATTCCTTCTTGATGGTTCCAGGGGCCCGGAAACGGCCCCCAGGGGGCACAGCTGAAGCAAGCAAACGACAACATCGAACACATCCGTGCGCTGGGAGTCCGTGGATTCTCAGACGCCGGCGACCCCCCCCACCTGCAGCCCCCCCGCCCCCCTGGCACTGCCTGCCTTCCAGCGGCCTTCACGCTCGCCCTGCTCGGGTGCGCCGAAGAGCGGGGCTTCGCACCATGCCTCTTGGGCCGACTTGGGGCGATCTTGAAGGCCCCTTTGGCCGTCTTGGAGCGTCGGGGAGGCGAAAAGCGAGAACCCGAAAAACCTTCAAAAACCATTGAAACATAATGGATGTTGCCTCTTGGGGCCCTCATGGGAAACCTCTTGGAGGCCTCGCACCATGTCCCGAGGCGTGTGCGCGGACGAGGTGGGCGGGACCAGGAAACGCATTGAAATGAGGAGAATGTCAGGGCCCCAGCCATGGCATCCCTCCCGCCCCTTGGTCCTCACTGGTGAGGCTCCAGGTGCAGCCCACGCAGGTAATCAGTGCCAGCCTCAACACTGATGGCGCCCCCTCGCTCTTTAGAGGGCCCCCCCCCAAATTGCTCGGTACGTTGCGACACCTCCACCAAGTCCCCCTCGCGTTCGCCCCCGCCCTGGGCGGGCACCTCCGGAGCGCTGCTGGACGAGCGTGCGATGCGCGAGGCGTGCGCCACCGGGACCTCGGGCTGCGCTTCTGACGACGACGTCGACATCCTCGTCGTCGACGTCGACGACGAACATCGTCGTCGCCGTCCGTCCCTCTGCCGCTTCAGGAAGACGCCAACTGTACACACGCGCATTCACACACATTCACACACACACACACACACACACTCACACCTGACCGAGCCCAGCCAAGCCGATCCTCGGACTAAGGACGGTGCATGCACCCTCCCGGGCTTGGCAGAGCTCTTGCCACAACGCTCGGCCACATGGGCGATTCCAAAAGGCAGGGGGCGGCGGTGATTCGCCGTAGGCGTCTTCGATCTGCCGCTCCCTCTAAGCTTGCCGCAGGGGTGCCTGGCGCGCCAGATTTCTATTGGACTTCTGGTTCTTTTAGAAGCCCCCTGAGGCTTCGGACCAGGGCGCCCGCCACCCAGAGCATGTACATGTCAATGCCTTTCTCTTCCAAGATGGCCCAACATGGATTCCCAGATGCCTTACATATGGCCGAGATGGTCCAAGATGGCCTCAAAGATGCCTCCAAGACGGCCAAGATGGCGCCACGAAGGCCCAAGATGGCCTCCAGATGCACCCAGGACGGTCCAAGATAGCCTCAAGATGGCCTACAACGGCCCAAAAGGTCTGCAAGAGGTCCCCAAGAGGTCCCCAAGATGACCCAAGAGGCTCCCAAAAGAGCCTCCAAGAAGGCCCAAAGAGGCCAAAGTCATCGCTTCGGTTTTGAAATATGTGGGAATTTGCCAATTGTCGGCCTCCCGACGGCCCGAGACGGCCCAAGAGACCCACAGATCGTCCCAAGATCGCCCAATACGCGTCCCAGATGGCCCCAAAACGGCCCAAGCGGCCACCAAGACAGCCCCAAAAGGGCCCCAAGATGGCCCAAGAGGCCTCGAAGCCACACCGGCTGGGGGAAGACATGGTCCGATAGCTTGGCAGAGCTCTTGCCACAATGCTCGGCCAAGCGCGATTTCAAAAGGCCAGGGGCGGCGGTGATTCGCCGAAGGCGTCTTCGATCCGCCGCCCCCTGTTAGCTTGCCACAGGGGTGCCCCGCGCGCTCAACGTCTGACGGTTGTTGCTTGTGTTAGAACTCCCCCTGGAACTTCTGCCCAGCACGCGGGCCACTCGGAACCACCCCCGCTTTGCTCAGATAATTGCCGTTCTCGTTCCTACGTGGCCGCAGATGGGCCCCACGATGCCTTCAAGATAGCCAAGATGGCCTCCAAGTTTGTCCAATATTGTCAGATTTGGTCTCCAAGACGGGCCACGGGTCCAAGATGCTTCCAAGTCCACCCAAGAAACCACCACGACGGCCCAAGCTGGCTTCAAGATGGTCCAATACGCTCCGAGACACCCCCGAGAGGCCTCGAAGACAGCCCACGAGGCCCCCACGAGGTTCACCATGAAGGCCCCAAGAAGTCGAAATCATTGACTGCCCTTTGGTGTGCTGATGGTGTTGGCATTTGCATCTGTTCGGTCCTCCGACGGCCCACGACGGTCCAATAGGCCCCTACGATCGTCCCAAGATAGCCCAAGAGGCCTCCAATATGGCACCTACGACGGCCTTAGCGACCCCCCAAGACGGCCCCAAGAGAGCCCCAAGACGACCCATCAGGCCTCCAAAACGCTCAATCTGGCCTCCAAGACGGCCCAGAAACGCCCCAAGGAGCCCCAAGTCGGTTCAGAGAGGTTGGTCCCCGAAGAGCCCAAAGACCAAAGACCCCCGAGAGGCCCAAGGTCGCTCCCAGGAGGCCTCCAAGAGGCCCTCAGGAAGCTCCCAGGAATCCCCGAGAGGCCTCACGAATGCCCCAAGAGCCCCCCAAGAAACCTTCTCCGCCGTCCTTTTTCCTCCCTCGCCTGCTCTTCCTGTTCCTCCCCCACGTGCTCCCCGACTGGTTTTCACAACGGCCGGGGGAATCGATCGTCTAAGAGCGTGGCCAAACCTTGCCCAAAGGCCACACGGGCGTGTCCTAAAAGGCAGGGGGCGGCGGTGATTCGCAAACGGCGCCTTTGCTAAACAAATACGAGAATGCGAGCGGATCGGTCTGGTCTCGGAGTGGGGGTAGGATCTACTTCTTCTGAAGGGAAAAGTATCTACTTGGTACACGCTGTGGTGCACCCTATGGGGCCAAATCCAGGCCAGCGCAGCGCGCGAGGCAACCACAAGGTGATCCTGGGCACCCACGGTCCGAACACGCACCGGAATACATAGCCAGCGCGCAAGGCAGCCACGAGGCGCCCACGGGTGCCCGCTGGTTGACAACCCAGAAGCCCTGGCCAGCGTACGAGGCGGCCACGGTGCGCCCACGGGCGCACCCAAAAGAAACGCCACACCCGTAGTGGATGCTCTGGTTGGGGGAGGTGGTCACGAAACCAACGGTACCAGCCGTGATGACAGGGAGAGAAAGCTTGCTACGGATTATGACACCGAGAAAATCATGCCGCGTCCAAATCAGAGGTGGGCAAGAACACCAAGCTGATGCAATGTTAGACTTGCAGCGCGGGGATGTCCCTTACGAGATTATCATCGGAGCAGCGGCTTGGTGGATAGTGCAGCAGCAATGCACGTTAATGAATGATACCCTATGCAACACCGACCCACCTGTATATCCACACAATCCTTACTCCGTGTATGTGCACGCAACCACACGAGCGTGCAAACAACACCTGCGCAACCTGCACACTGGCAAACGGGAATGTCAATATCTTCTGCGGGGTGCACAGACCTGCATGCTTACAATCGACACGGATACCCGCAACGGCAACATATTAAGGGGGCATGCTTCTAAGCCGCAGGCCGCAAGCAGGAGGATAACAGCCTTGACAGCCATCATGTCTCTGCCCTGTTTGCCTGCGTTGGTTTGCGGTAGATCGAGCAGCGATCGGCTCGGCACCTCGAGCATTGAACGTTGCGAGTCGAGCGCTTGAAGGGGAAGGTGGAGGTCAAATCAGCCGAGCACGGCGGGGATGGTTCACACTTCACACTGGCAGACGGCCTGTGCTGGCCACAGCGAACCTGTCTCCTCCTCCTCCCTGTCGTCCTCCTTCTCCTCGTCCTCCTCCTCCCTGTCCTCCTCCTCCTCCTCCTCCTCCTCCTCCTCCTCCTCCTCCTCCTCCTCCTCCTCCTCCTCCTCCTCCTCCTCCCCCTCTTGCAGAAGGGAGGCTGTCTCCTCCCCTTCCTGCTGCTGCTGCTGCCCCCTCCTCTGTCTCCTCCCCCGGCTGCTGCGCCCAGCCGAGCGCAGGCACGCAGGATACCCTGAGAGGTGCCCACATGCTGCCCAAGAGTGGGATAGCTAAGCCTGTCCTTTGCTACCCCTGGCTGTTGCTCGGGGTGGCTCCTCGTGCCCCTCCTCCTCCTCCTCCTCCTCCTCCTCCTCATCATCATCATCCTCTTCTTCTTCTCTGACCGGCTGCTGCAGTTTTTTCTGCCGTTGCTGCTGATCCTCCTGCTCTCCCTTCCCCTCAACCTCCTGTTCCTGCTGCTCATATTTCTCGGACTGTCACTCCTTCTCCCCTCCCCTTCCCTCACCCCCCTCGGGCAGGGAGGAAGGGATATGGGTTTGCCCTTGAAGGCGGTCGACCAAAATCGAGAGCAACTCTCGGACTGGCGCCCCGCAGTCGAGAGCGTCCTCAAGGACCTCGGAGGCTTTCTGGAGGGCCAGATGCCCGAGCCCTGTAGGAGGGGGAGGGGACGGGAGGAGAGCGGAGGATTCGTAGGGGGCGGGGGAAGGCCCCGCCCCCTCCCCACCCCTGCACGGGCTCCTGCATGTGAAGGACAGCGATGACGAGGGCGATGGCGGTAGCGGTGATGAATCACGGCGATGGTGGTGATGATGGTGATGGTGGTGATGGTGGGGGTTGTGATGGTGAGGGTGGTGATGACGGCGATGACGGCGATGATGGTGATGACGGTGGAGATGATGGTGACGGTTGTAGTGCTCATGATGTGGAGCATGGGGAGGAGGATGAGGAGGAGGCGGAGGAGGAGAAGGAAGAGGATACTGACGGCGACTACGGCAAGGACGACGGCGTTGAGGGAGCGGGGCCTCCGCCAGGAAGCCTGGCCCTCGGGAGTAGTCGCCGCCCGTGGCCCGAACCCCATCCTCCTCCTCCTCCTCCTCATCCTCCTCATCTTCCTCCTCCTCGTCCTCCTCCTCCTCCTTCTCCTCCTCCTCTTCCTCCTCCCGTCTCCTGATCTTCCTCCCTCCTCCTCCTCCGCCTCCTCCTTCTGGCACTTGGCCCTGTAGGTCTTCAGCCTGGTGAAGCTGGCCAGCGAGGCTCTCAGCATCGAGGCCCAGACGTCCAAGGTCCTCGATGAGGCCGTGAACGAGGGGTGGGGCGCGGCTTGGGGGAGCGGAACCCTTGTGAAGCCTCTCTTGGACTCGGGCCCTCCCTGTCTGTGCGGGGGAGGGGTGACTCCAGGTTGCGCCTGGCGCTGGCCAGATGTCTTCTGGCTCGCGGGGGTCGTCTCCGCCCGCTCGCGGGATGCGAAGGAGCATGCTGCATTTTTGAGCAACGCCGATTTACCCTTTATTCTCCTCCTCCTCCTTCTCCTCCTCGATCTCCTCCTCCTCCTCCTCCTCCTCCTCCTCCTCATCCTCCTCCCTGGCGTCAGTATGCATGGGTCTTGCACGCAGAGGCCAGGAACATTTGAATCGCATCAAGGCTGGACTGCATCCCAGGAGGGACGGGAGTGCCAAAGACCAGTCAGCCAGCCATAGGTGCGATAGAACTAAAGCCTGGCGTGTGGAGACCCTAGGCGAGAGCGGTCCGTCCGCTACCGTTGCTGGTCCTGCCCCTCCCTCGGACAGGCAGTGAGGCTGGCTTCGTGGGGTGCGGGGGTGGCTTGGCTCGGATCTTGCCCGTGGTGAGCCGCCCCAGTTCGAGGGCTGTCTTTCGTCACCCTTTCCCCCCACTTCTACGCCATGCCATGCCGTGATCTACCATGCGTCGCGTACCCTCTCGCGATCATTGCACTGCTAGACACCCGACGGTGCGAATAGAGAGGACAACCACGCACAGGTAAGGGATGGGAGGGAGGGGTAGGACGCCAGATATGACGCGAGCGCACCTAGCTTGCCTCACCCCTCTCCCCTCTTTCCCGCACGCCCTCCTGCGCTCGGTGGCAAAGTCGAAGCGGTCCTCCTCCCTCTCGTCCGCCCCGATCCTCGGGCCACCGTGCTCCAATCCCCCACCCCTCCGCCAGCCGATCGGGGGGCGAGCCCATGGGCCCCCGTCCAGCAGCGCTGCCGCGATGGCCGCCCGGCAGGCCAGCTGGGGCGGCGGGGGGCGCAGGTCTTCCTGGCGCGGCCGCCCCCCCCCAACGTCCTCGTCGCCATCCCGCGTCGCCCCTCGCCCCTCTCCTCGGGGTCGAGGGCCGATGGTGATGATTCCGGATTTTGGACGCGTTCGCTTCTCTTGGGCCTTCAAGAAGCTCCTAACCGCCACCGCGGAACTTCAGTGGAGATTCTGGCCATGACCCACCTCATAAGAGGTCCGGGAGTCGAGTTGAAACGGGTCGGCCCTCTGCCCAACACTTGCACACTTCCAAACAGCCGTTCTCCAAATGTGTCCCCCACCTCTGGTTTTGCTGTCTCTGGGGGGTCATTTCGTTTTATGTCCTCCCACCATTCCCCTCTCCCACTCCCCAAACATCGGGGGTCGTGAACATTTCGCGGTGTAGCTCCACAGAATTCTGGACAACTTCCTGGGGACCGATCCTTCATCCCGCATCGTTCTTTGAGGGCCCCGCGGCCCTGTGAGGACCCCGCAGCGGTAGAACACATCTCCAAACCTTCCGACGCGAAGATACCAGGGCCTCTCCTCCCTCAATAGAAGCCTCCCAGGCGGGTCCAAGTAGACGGGGTCGGGGGGTCGCACCGCCGATGAATCGCTGCTGATCGGCGATGCATCGGCGACCTCGGCTGAATTTCGGCGACGCCTGCGCGGAGAACATCGTGGTCCACATCGAGCCGCGTCGGCGATGCATCGGCGATGCGGCGCGGTCCTCCGACCCCATCTGCTCGGACTCCACGTAGGCTTGCCATCGCTCGGACGTTCATTCCAAGTGCGTCTAACGATGTCGTGCGCGTTTTTTGGAGTCACAGGGTGATCCAGCATGCTACTCAATGTTCCCCGCCGGGCAAGATCCACACGTCCGAGCGATGCCAAGCTTGGGAGGCTACTTGGACTCTGCGTAGGAAGTCTAGAACCCCCCACTCGCGAGGCACTGCAGTAACCGTCCACGCGGCGCGGGCGAGAGCTGGTGAGCGACGGCCGGGGCCCGATCCCGCCGCTGGCCCAAGAGTCCTCCGCCTTCTGCAGGGCCTCTCGCTCGCTCCGACCCCTTCGATTGCCCCTCGCCCCCTGCTCCTTCTCGCTGCTGCCTCGCTCGAGGAGGGGGCAGGAAGAGGGAATCAAAGGAAGTGAAGACAAGCAGAGCGGACATCCCCCGACCCTGTCCACGTGTGTGAGAGGCCTTTCTGTTTGAGTCGCCGTCGTCGCCGCTCCCCCCCTTGCGGATTCTTCGTTTGACCCTGTCGTCACGTCGTCGACGACGTCGGCGCTCTCCCCCTTATCCCTAAGCTCTCCTCGTCAAGCGTTCCAGCCAGAGCGACACCGAGCAACGTCGTAATCGATTTCCCTCTGGCCCCTTCCCTGTGATCCCTTCCCTCCCCGCGGGGGTGGGGGCTTCGGGTGGTGGGTGGGGAAAGCACCCCTCGATTTCCCTTGATTTCTCGCCTCCCAAACGCCTCGAATTTACCTGTACCGCGGCTTGCTTCAAGAGTGCCCTGAAACAGCCCATTATCGCTCCGAGACGGCCCAGGATACCCTGAAGGCGGCCTCAGACCCCCCCCCCGGACGCCCCAAGTGAGCTCCACGAGGAGCTCCAAGAGGAGACCCAACAGGCGATAGACATGGATGTTGTTCGCGTCCTCACCCTTCGGGGCTTCCGACGCTGGAGGACGGCCCAGGAGGCCCTCAACATCGCACCACGATTGCCCGAGAGGCAACCGCCAACGCCCCGGAATGGCCGAAAACGGCCCCAAGACGGCTCCCCAAAGGGGGGGAACCAACCGACACGTCGAGCCTTCCGCCACAACGGGCCCTCAGGAGGCCCCTAGAGGCGCCCAAGAAGCCCCGAGAGTCCCCGAAGAGGCCCAAGAGAGCACCAAGAACACTCCCAAAAGAAGCCCAAGATTGCAAAATCAATGATTCCCCAAAGCTTTTGACTGGCTTTCGTCGTCGCCGTCGTGGTCGCCGTCGTCGTCATCGTCGTCGTCGTCGTCGTCGTCGCCGTCGCCGTCGCCGTCGCCGGCGACGTCGGCCGTAAGGCTTGTGCAGTAAAGGATGGCAGAAGACCAGGGAGAATGGAGCAGGAGAGAAGAGAATAATGAGGAGGAGAAGGAGGAGGAGGAGAAGACAGAAGAGGAATAAGGGGTAGCGCGGGGGGGCAGGGGGACCAGGAAGAGGAGGAAAAGGCGAAGATTGCCTTAGCTGATGCGAGTTTTGCCAGCTGCTTCGTTTATATACAAGCGCCTCTACCCATATGTTCTACGCTTGGACATGTGCGCGCTGCTCTGTCCACAGACAGGATGCTTGCGGTATCGGCTGCCACTGGCCAAGCGTCCTCCTCCTCCTCCTCCTGCCCTGCCTCGTTCTGGCCCTCCTCCTCATCGCTCCCCCTCCTCCTTCTATGTCTGCTGCGTCTGCCACTCCGTCTTTATCATGATCGTCTCACCTCCTGTTCATCCCCTCCGTTTCGTCCTCATCTGGATTCTCCACCTCCTCCGTCTTCTACTCCTCCACTTCCTCCTCCTCCTCCTCCTCCTCATCCTCCTCCTCCTCCCCCTCGCAAGGCTGACCCAGGTAGACCAGACTTGACGACTGATATCGTTTCC